ACCTCTTCCTTTTCCTTTTCCTCCTCCGCGCCGGCACTTCCACCCGAGTTCCCATACCCCTGCCGCACTTTTTGCACGCCGCACGCAAATAATATCCCCCACGAACAAACACCGGCAGTAGTTTTCCCAACAGTTTGAAATATACCTACTCATTTACTCACTAGGCTGCTGCTTCGCTGCGCCGGCGGTAGTGTTGTGATGCGCACCCGCCGCCGCAAACCGCAGCCCAAACAAATTTCCTTCCGACTGTTTAAAGAAAATAATTTTGAATAAAAAGGCATTCAACAGCGTAAAGCTTCTGGCCGCCGCTCCCGCACAACTCCCCGCACGTGGCGTGCATCCGCCCTCTCAGCCTGAAGGCCCCTGCGGCGCCCATCTCTAAGCCCCTCCCCGCAACACGCAGCGCCGTGCCTGCCGTCCCTTTCGCGGCCGCAGCCCCGTGCGAGCCCCTCTCTCTTTTCTACACCGCGCCCGCAGAAGGCCCTCCTCCCCCAGCGTGTGTGTGTGGGGGGGGGGGTCCGGGGCACACGCTTTCAGGATATTTTAGCGAAGGCGAGAAGCACCCCACAGCAGCGTGGCAGCCTCTGCGAGGGTCAGTACCTCACACAAACGGTGCAGTAGTTTCTGCTCGATGTAGTCACACGCCGGTGCGATGCGAACAACGTCACCACCGCAGTCGCGCCATAGCCGCTCAATTTTCACAAGTTTATGAAACGGGTTCTCCGGACTCCACACCTTCTCATCTGCCCGGGCAAAGTAGTCCTTGGCAACCGAGGCGTCAATCGCCTGCAGGGCGCTCTCAACCGCCGCCGTGTGCTCACTGAACTCAGCCTCAGTGAGGATGTAGCGCGGAATCGGCCCGACAAACCGCATGCGCTGCTTGACCGCCTCCCAGTAGTCCACTTGCTCCTGTGCGGGGCGGCCACGCGTCATCCAGGCACACATCGCCTTCACCTCGTTCTCGCTGGGGCAGCTCATGACGCGGTGATAGGCGGTCCGCACCCCCCACCCATTCCCTGAAGTTATTGCCGTTCGGGGACGCCACCACAACCATCCCATGCCCATAACATTTCAATTGTGACGGCGGCCCTCCTTCCTCCGCCGCGTCATAGATAGCAAACCCTCTCTCTTCAGGATTCCAATGCAAACGCATCAGAGCATCTTTAGTCTCCTCCGCACCCTCGTATTTCGTCACCGTCTTCTCTTCCTTGTCAAACATGAGCGCCAACTCGCTCTCAAGGAAGTAGGCAACATAACGAATTGGGTAGTCATCGTAGTGCAGCAGCTGGTAGAGGAGGTAGGCGCCGACATTCATCCACCGCCCGACCCCGTACGTCCCAAGCAGGAAGTGTGACTGCACGTCAGGCAGCCCGTGATCTTCAGGGCGGAACATCTCGCGCATGTCGCAATCGACGATATCCCACACCCACTCCATCTCGAAGTTAACGTAGCAGTCGGTGGTGACTGTTTCCTCCCGCAGCGAGTGCGGCCAGCCCTGCTCGGAGGTGAGTACCATCAGCGTGGGGCGCGGCGGGCGGAAATGGTCTACCTCGCGATGATCATCCAGCCAAAAATCGCCATTACCACCGCTTCCCCACGACTTTTTTGGTTCTTGTCCCTCCTTCACCTCCATTCGCACCGCCGCCTCTTCCCCCGCGCCCTCGGGATACCCCAAGACGTGGCTCCATTTCGCGTTGAACACCGAGTCGTAGAAACCCTCCGGAATCGGGAGTCTCACCCTTTCCTCCTCCAGCTTTGCCCTTTCGTTTTCTTCCCGCCCTGCCGCTTCTGCCTTCGTCACCTCAAGGGCTGCCCTAAGTTTCTCTGACGCCGTTCTAAAGGAGATGTGCAACCACGATGAAGCCTCCCTAAAGTCCCGGAGCGTGACCACCCCTTTCCTCACAAGCCTGCGCAGCTCTTCACGGAGACCGTACGGCTGGTACGCTGGCAACCTGACAATGCTCTCGAGGAGCTCCGCGTCGAGGATGTAATCGCCTGGCCTCCGCGCAAACACCCCCATCGGAACATTGTCGTATTCGTCCACGGCGTAGTTGGGGTCAACGTGCTCCCGAAGGAAGTCGTTCAGCAGCATCTCTCTGGCTGGGGCTTCTCCCTCCATCAGTACTTCCTCCACGCGACTCTCAGGGGTCCACTCTGGCCGCGGCGGCGGTGTTTCTTCCACCCTTCCGAGCTGCGCTGCGGGCGGGTTCGCGTTGCCGTCAGACCCCGCCCTCGCCCGCCGCCGTACCCGCGGCACTTTAGTGGTGGGACGCCCCCTCTTCTTAGCAGCGCGCGGCCTCGTTCGATTTTCAGGCATTTTTTCCTTATTTTTTTTTCTTCGTTAGTTGTTGTTGCCTTGCACTGCGGCTGAACACCAACCGCCAGCCAAAAGGAGAATGCGAGAGGCAAAAAAAAAAATAGGCACACAGACACACGACCCCCACGCAGCCGCATTCAGCAAGAGAGAAAAAGGGAGGGAGGGCCACCGCAGCCCACACACGGTGCGGGCACACACGCACACGCACGCAGCCACTCACCGCACACACCGCCGGGGGCAGGGCAGCCGCACTGCACAGGGGCGGCCTCGCCACTCCGCCCGCCGCCCCCATGCCGGCGCAGCCAAGTGAACCCCCACAACGCACCGCATCGTGTGGTCCCGCCAAGCGCCCACGGCGACTTTTGCTCCTCCCCACAGAGTAGATGTGCGTATGTGAAGCGCAAGGCACACGGCAACTGTGACGTGTTCCTTCTCTTCGCACTGCACCCGCCATTCGACTCCCCACACACATCTCAGTATATGTGTGCGTGTGTGCGGCTACGCGACGCAACCGCACAGGGCGCAGCCGGCACAGACTACAAAACCACCACCCACGTGCACGGCAATAGGCATGTCTGTATCGTGTGTGTGGGGCTGTGTCTACCTACGGACACACAACGCAAGGCAACTGCAAAGCATGTTGAAGTGCACACAAACACACGGCAGCGATGCAGGAGGAAAAGGGGAGTTGTGAGGCCCGAGATGGCGCTGCGGCTCACGCAGCGGCAAGCCACAGTTGATATGCCAAAAAGTAAAAAAAAAACGTCCTCGAATATGATTAACTTCCCCCAACTTGCCCCAGTGAAAAAAAAAAAAGTCGTCCTTCATGATGTTTTCCCGTTAAAAAAAAAATGTTTTATTTAAAGGAGTTCCTCCTCGTATCCACGCGCATCACTCACGCTTCACTGCTGGACTTCGGCGTATTGTTGCTGCCGCTGCGCCCCTCGCGCCCCGCCCCCTTTTCACCGGCACGCCGCGGTGGCGGAGCGCCGTCGCTCGCGTGTTTGTGTGGGGGCACAGCGGCAGCCTTGCGAGGAGCCCGCGCCTCCGTGCGGCGGGGGAGGGCACAACGCAAGCAGAAGAGTGACAAAAAGAAAGAAGGGTGCATGCAGGCCCGGCCCCGAAGGACGGGCCTACACGCCAGAGCAAAAGAAGAAGGAAGAAACAATTGATTGAGCAAAAACAAAAAGTCCTCACGGACAGCAACGAATTATTTTTGGGTCGCGCGTGTGGGTTCCTCCTCGGCCTCTCAACCCCCGCCGCATTCTGCCGCTCAGGCAAGCGCCCCGGCGCCCCACATCCCCAGCAGCAGCAGCAGCAGCAGCAAGGGAGCCGCAGTCCCACGCACGACGACGCCACCATCTGCACTCTTCCGCAACATCATTTCGGCGTCGGTGATAAACGTGGTCCAGTCCCGGGGGGCGGCCGGGCCACCGCTCCCTCCCTCGGGCGCAGCGTCCGTGGGCGGGGGGCTGGAAGAGTCCGGGCTCCCGACTCTGGCGGCTGCGTCAGCGCGGTGTTCAGCGCTGCCCGCACCTTCGGCCGCCGGGGTGCCCGCTGCAGGTGCCGCCGGCGGCGGCGCTCCGTCTCCACGAAGAGTTTTTCCGTCGGCGGCGACTTCAGGCAACACCGGCTCCGCGGACGGTGGCTGGCAAATCTCTGGCGTCTCGGAGAGGGCGGTCTCAGTAGCGATTGGTGTCGGCAATTCCCTGCAATACTCGCTCTCTGGTTTTAAAAAAACATATTTCATCGTGAACGCAGCAGCGCTCTCGTTGGCTCCAGCACACGCCGTGGCACACCGCCACTCCTCGAACTGCTCTTCGGCGTCCTCGCACAAGTGCAAACAGTCCATGTTTCGTTCCCCCATCTCAGAACTCCTGCACGGCGTCCAGGCAGCCTCGCCGGGAAAGCGCCAACTTAACTTATCGCCGGTGTTCGAACATGACACTTCCACCGTCACCTCAGTCGCAGTCGCAGTCGCCGCCGTGTCGCCGACGGAGGCGCAGCAGCATAAGCCGCAGAGCAGCGCGAGGAGCGCCAGGGCGCACACCGCACGGCGCCGCAGCGTCGGCATCATCGCCATCAGTAAAAATAGTGGCAGTAGAGTCGCAGTGGGCTGCGGGGCTGCGGGAAGGAAGCAATAAACAAGAGAATGAGGTGGAGGCAGTGAAGAGTGCGGCGGAGGGAGCGAGCGCAGAGAGAGGGAAGAAAAAGGCGGCAGCGGCCCAATGTGCCCACGCGGGAGAACGCGCACACGCAACAAAGACACGCGGCGCCGGCAGTCACCCACGACGGAGCAGAGAAGAGCAGCGGAGCGCAGCCGCAGGAAATGGATGCACAACCTCGCAGCCGGCAAACGACACCCAGCGCGAGCACCCGCCCCGCCGGCCACACTCACACGCACTGGAATTGGACCCGCAGCGACACAAATGAGGCGGCACACGCAAGGAAAGAGAGCGAGCCACAGTCCACTCTCCTTCTCGTCGTGCCTCTTAATTTCCCCTCACGGCCACGGAAGGAGGCAGCAGCAGCCGGCGCCACACGGCAGACGAGCAGCAGATGAGGCGCCGCATTTCCCCCGTCGTGCGAGGGCGAAGACACACGGCGAAGACGCCAGCCGCACAGCCGCAGCGAGAGGGACGGGGCGGGCCCAAAGCCCACCGCACGGTCTGCCGCTGCTTCGCCTCAGCAATCGGCATCGCACCGCACCGCAGGCTTCAAAGAAACAGCGCCCCGCACACTCGCAGTGAGACACACGCCCCATTCACACGCGCCCACCGTTTATTCGCTCCCGCTGCAGCGGGCGCACACCCCGTCACCCCCGCGCCACCGCAGCGGCGAACAAAAAAAAAGAGTCATCGTCGTCGTCGTTGGCTGCCGGTGCCTCTAGCGGGAAGAAGAAGGAGGAGGAGGAATGGCGGCGTGTCAGCAACACAACCAGCAGCGGTGGGGGAAAACAGAACACGGAGACACGCAGCGACAGCGGCGGACACGGCGCACAAACTAAAAGTGGGCCGCAGTGCGTTACCCCAACAACAAAAAAAAACTAGTCCAAAAACAAAGAGGTTGAAGTCCAGCAGAACTCAGGGGAAACACAAACAAAAAAGAATTGCTTCGGCAGGTGTTTCTTTACTCTCACGTGTCCAGCAGCACAAGAGGACTGTGAGTGAGTGTGTACATTTTACTACCTGCACGAAGAAAAAAAAGAAAGGAAAGCATAGCCCTGTTGCAGGAGCCCACACATTTGCACCTCCCGCACATTTCATGCGGCCTTCGGCCTGCGCTCCCGCCCGGCAGTTGCGTCGCATCCGTGCGGCGCACAGCAGCGCGGCCGCCATCGCGTGTGTGGGCAACAAACAAAAAGGGGCAAACAAGAGGGAATAGACTCGTCACTCTTAACAGCGCGTATAGCGAGCAATCATTGGAGCAGAAA